TAAGCCTTCTGTTCAGTTATCATTTTGTGGAACATGATAAGATTGGTCTTTGTATTGCACGTCTATATAGTGAGCAATGAACATTCGCCACTTATTGTTCTGTCTACCCGCCTTTTGGCGTGAAACTGTAAGAATTCGATCGTATGAAATGTACTGGACTGTGTCGAATGATAACCGTGCACTGCACTGCTGTCGAACAGTAGTCGTGAACTGCACTGCTAGGTGGGACGGTATAACCATGAACTGCACTGCTATGTCGGACGGTAACCATGAATTGCTCTGCTATGTCGGACGGTAATCATGAATTGCACTGCTATGTCGGACGGTAACCATGAACTGCACTGCTATGTCGGACGGTAACCATGAACTGCACTGCTATGTCGGACGGTAACCATGAACTGCACTGCTATGTCACACGGTAATCATGAATTGCACTGCTATGTCGGACGGTAACCGTGAATTGCACTGCTATGTTGGACGGTAACCGTGGTGTTCACTGTTAATTCGGATGGTAGCTGTGAAATCCGCTGCTATGTCGGACGGTAACCGTGAACCGTGAGCACGATGTCGTAGGAATAAGGTGTTGGATGTTCTGTTGTATCTGAACAATAAGTATCGAGCTCGATAGCGCAGCTGAAGAAGCCGAGACGATTATTATCAGGCCAGTCGTGCTCCTGCCCTTTAAAAAAATGGACGGCTTGTGGTTACTTTCAAGGCACTGTTTTCTATTTCTTTCTGTGCTTATATGAAGTTAATTGTTAATATGTTATATGTTGTTAACTCGTATATGTTAACAAAAGACATGTCTGCAACGCTCCATTCGTCAAGAAAATATACTTCTTATTCGACTATATTGCCTCAAGAATGATAACGTCAATGTCCATGTCATTAGCGTCGCTACGGGGGCGGGGGGGGGGGCAGCTTGCCCCCCCCCCAACCTCGGACCGGGCACCCCCTGAGATCGATACAGATCCGATGAGATTTTGGAGTCGGGAAAAAATGGAGGTACCTTTCTAGGAATGCCTGTAAGGTCATACTCGGTTGGAGCGTGCAGTTCAAACCAGAGTCAGAGTCGCAGTCGCCAAAATCTTCAAGAATCCGACTCCGGACTCGGAAATGTCAATGCTGTGATTCATTCCATGTTCCTAGTTGGTTCTTTATTACATTTTTTAGCTGATTTTCATAAGTTTTGGAGTGCTGACGCCTGACACATAATTTTCGTTCAAAGCGTGACACGAAATCTTTGGGGCCTTTCTCGACTCTCGTCAAATGTCTGCGACAGGCTCAAGTACCTACCGTTCAAGTGCCGCAGGGCTCATGAGCTTGCTTTCCACACAGGCTCCTAAGGAGCTCTGCACTGATGTCTAAGAAGCTTTCAGAGGGCCCAAACCGGCCTCTGAGAGTCCCACTAGTGTCCATGTTTTCTCATTTCTGAGGGCCCATACAGGGATCTTTTAGGACCCTGTACGTACGTAGACCTCTGAAGGGCCACACGAATCTTTGAGGATGCCTTCGAAAATCTCTGAGAATCTTAACTGGCCTCTGATAGTTCAGCCGAACTTTTGAGGCGACGGACTTTGCTACCCCCCGGCCCCAAGCCGGCAGGCGCGTAACCACGAGTCTGAAGTTACTGGGGACCACATGGAGGGCCGCGAAGACCAAATATTATATTTCAGGATCAGCATTCGCCTGAGGGGGGGGGAGAGGGGGGCGTTTTTGGCCAGACCTGCCAGTTTTTTTTGCGCGTGTAAGGAAAACCGCGGCGCGCACCGCCACGAAACTTGGTACCTATAGGTTATGATACCTCAATGTCGCATCGTCTGTGAAAATTTTTACCCCAGGTCACCTATGGTCAGGTCACCAGAGATCAGCTATACCAACAGAAAAATAGCCGCCTGGCGCAATTTTTCTATAAAAAAACGCTGACGAGTTTCACCAATCAGGCGAAAAATATCCGCCGGCGTGAAAAAATATCAGCCAGAAAAATAGCCAACGAGTTTCACCAACGGCAAATGCGGCATTAATGAAACGCTAGCCTGGAAGCTAAGCCGTTGACCTTAGGTCAAAGCTAAGAGCATTTGAAACAGCTATCGAATGCGCTTTCCCGCAGCACTGCAGCTCTATTGGTTCCTGACTTATGCGCCGATTTGTGTGAACAGTTGTCAAAATTGGGAACAAAAGTTCGTGAAAATTTTACCTTTAGTGACCTCCAGTGACCTCAGCGATGACCTGATAAAACATGACATAGGTACCTAATTCTTAAAAGATACTGTAGTGATCTCTCTGTTGCTTTTTACCGCGTCTTTCTAGCTTGCTTACTTTCCGAGATAATCTGGTGTGGCCAAAAAGCCCCCAACCCCCATGGCGAGATTGGCCGAGGGGCCCACCCGAGCGTTGGCTAAACGAAACATCCATTGTTTTGTCTTCCGTTGACTACACATTACTCTTCACGTCGATTTAGAGACAATATTTGGCTATTTAAGCAAACTGAGGAGGTCATCGGTTTTACTGGGGACGGTCCCCAGTAACCCAAAAGTTACTGGGGACCGGTCCCCAGTGTCCCCAGTGGTGGTTACGCGCCTGCAAGCCGGCATCTGAGGGGTCACAACTCACGTGTCCCTCTGAGGGCCGCAACACATGTTTCGTATGTCCTTACGTGGGGTCCTTAGGGATTCAACACGGACCCCGACGGTTCACACTTATCCGAGGGCTCAACTCTAGGCTCACCCTGGGCCTAGTCTCTTAGCGCCCGCCGCCCACACTGGCTTCTGAAGGGCCCAACCTTGGGCTCGGAAAGCCCTTAAGCACCACATACAATACACGTAAATATTTGGGGTGACCCACGCCGATCTCCGGGATCCTAAGCAGGATTCTGAGAGTCCACACTGACCATGAGTGGCCTGAAATGGCCTGGAAGTCCATAGCCTATCTCTAAGGGATCCATTACCGCTATGCCGTGCCGCGTGCGTAACTTTTGGCTCCGTTAAACATTTTTTGTTCACGTTTGCAGCGCTTCGCTTCCCTTCACACGAAGAACGAGAAACTTTTTGTTCACACTCGAGAACAAAACACTTCCTCCCACTGGAGCAAAGATGAATTACCTACTAATTTACTTCCGATTCACACTTCCGACATTCGCTCTCAGTCTCTGCCGAATGCCCAACTTACCTAAAATCGGCGGCTGGGATAAGCCCTATGCATTTCACGCAAAACCTCTGCAGTCTGCATGCATGCGTGAATGAAGGTTTAAGCAGGGTGATGCGATTAAATGGAGCGCTTTTCACCTTTTTTCTGGGTTATGATCATGAGTGACGAGAGTCTGCACAGGGGCCCTCTGCAGTGCGTCGGCAATTGCAGCCACTGTAATTCTACCGGTCGTTTTTGTCCACAAATTTCAAAATTTCGAATTTTTCAGCAAAAAAAATATATGTCATAGCGAGAAGGAAAACTTTGTCACCATCGGATTCCTCGCACCATTGCGCGTCGAATGATATGTAAAACGAGTGATTAACGACTGAGGAAAGGCAAGATTTCACACAAAAGTTGATTTTGCCCCCCCCCCCAACCGAAAATCTCTGGAGACGCCTATGGTCCATGTGGTGTGGGGAGACCAAAGCTGCGAAAATCGATGAGGGAGGAGTAACAGAGAGCTTCTATAACCATGCAGGTTTCGGAGTCGGAGTCGTAATCGGAGTGCGGACTCGGAAACGGAGTTGAAATACTGCTATTACGACTCCGAAACTCCTGGTTTATTGCAGGAACACGAAATACCATGCCACTAACTCACACATTCCTTTCATTTACATGCTAAATTATAAACAGCAAAGCATTTTCATTCACTGATTTACCATAACACTGTTACGTGAATGCGAGTTACGTGAATTCGATATTATTTTCAGGGTTTGGTGTTTGTAAATTTGATCATATCATGACTAGTTCGTGAACAACGTTTGTTAACGGGCGTCACTTCTAAATATCGAAGCCATTCTTTTCCTGCAGCGTCGTAGAGCTTTTCTTTCTTAAAATTTTAAAATTATTGGTAGGCGGGCCCTACTGGAATCGGACTCGCAAGTGTGTCGTTTTGTATATGCAAAACGACACACGCGTTTATTTGTTTGTTTGATAGTCTCAAAGTCTCAAGCTCAAACTTTCAAGTTGACCTTTCGAGGTCAACTTATAGTTCATTCGATGGTCTTACTCTTGACGATGACGAGAAGAACATGATGCTGCTTAATGTAAGGTCGTGCAAAGTTCTAAGTCTTAAGTTATTGCATGCAGAAAAACTGTTTCAGCAAATGCGTCTATTTTGGCAGTGTTTGCCTCCTGCAGCCTACAGGCTGCAGCTTATACAGCCTACAGGCTGCAGGAGGCCCTAGGTCAAATCTTAGAGAAATACTAAATACTTAGAGAAATACTTAGAGAGACAGGTAAAAGAGCTATCGAATGTGTGTTTCCGCGGCGCTGTTGCTCTATCCGTTCCTGAGCTAATGTGCCAGTTTGTCCAAAATTAGCGAAATTTAGACTGGGAAAGTTACGAAATTACCTGCCGTGGCCTCTGCAGTGACCTGACCCTTAGTCTGACCTAAAAAGTGACCGATATAATTTCTTCATTATTTTCTACGCTCTTTCGAACGCCGCCTATGGCATGTCGCTACGTGGGCCGTGGCCCAGGAGCCGAGTTGTTGCTCAAACACCCCCAATAGAGCGTGAAAATCCAGTAGCCCCAGCGGGGCGCGGGCTGCATGATGCCGTCGATCGGTCCCTAACAGACCGAGGATAGGCAAGAGGGAAGGAGGGAAGGGTGGGGGGGGGGGGGCAGCAGGCGGCTGTGGGACAGCCGTTACGCTGGGTGGGCGGCGGGTTACGATATTCCCGGAACGCGGCTCATTCACCCGCTGGTGACATCATCAGTTGTAGCGCGAGCCAGCTCCGCCGCATATCGACCAATGTCCAATCCCACACGGCGGTGGAGGCTCCGCCCGTTGGATGACGTTCCACCTTTCGGCGCCGCTCACCAGGTGGCAGCAGCTGTCGACCAGTCTTAAAAATGGCGTCAAGTCAGGATGCTTGGTATCTGTCGCTGCTCGGTTTGGCCGAACATTTTCGAAGTTTGAAGCCACCTGACATAAAATCGTGTGTGCAGTGCCTGCAGGCAGTGTTTAACTTCAATCCGCCCCCACGAGTGGAGGCTAGAACGCATTTGCAGCTGGGGAACATCCTGTTGAACCACACAAGAAATTCGGATCTTGCCCGCAAACACCTGGAAAAGGCGGTAAGTGGCGAAGATAATCCGTGAATTGGTATGCGCATTCTGTTCTCAGGGCATTAAACATAAGTTTCTATAATTTTTCCGTACAAATTGTTCGTTGGCCGCGCCGATGTGCTTAGAAAACGACGCCGCTTTCACCGCAAACCGAAACCGTTGCTCATTCAATGAGCTAGGCAGTCGCAGCATAACAATGATGTTGCATTTTAAACCATCCATAATATTTTTTTTCGTTTCTATTGAACATTTTTCAGTTACTTAATAGCAATCCTTTCAGTCTTTTACTTATTAACAATATGAATTTGAATTACAAAGTTTTCACAGCTCAAGCTTGCAGAACCCTTACATGAAATGTTTGGTTTTTAGTTTAAGGGTTTTCTGAACGAAATAGGAGCCTGTGAAAATTCCCACCCACAAATTATAGTGCATCAGTTTTGCATTGCTCTTATGATTGATTTAGTTTTATTTTTCATTGTAAATGGCCTTTATTTTGAAAGTTGTTTCAATTATGGCGCGTCTGTTACACTTATGGTGCAATTGGAGCTGCTAAATTATAATGTTTGGAAATCTGATAATGTATCCTATTTATAAACATAGGTATATTTGGTGAATGCATTCATAGTATTCATTAGCTACAAATTGATTTTTCTACCTAGTGTAAATGATGTGAATCTATCAACCCTAATGTTTATTGAGTGGTTGATGTATTGATAATTGTGGGCCTTGTTAACAACTGGATACAATCAGCTGGCGACTTGTAATAGCCGTTATATGTGTGAATTATCATCATAAACCAGTTTATTAAACAAAAAATGTTGTTAAATGAGCTGGTAACATGTTTATCTATAGATATAAGCACAGTACTAGATGGACATAAACACATAAAATGGCACTACTGGAGAAATTCATTGATAGACATTTATTCTTGTATGTCTAGGATTGATCTTATATAACAAGCTTTGCTAGCACCATTATACATACCAGATGGCAAATTCTCCAGTTGAGGAATAGCACGCCCTTAATTGTTTGCCCACTTTCCTCAAATAATTTTTTGCTATTGTTTTATGATTTTTATGTTATGCTAAAAAAGAGAATACTAATACTCACTGAAGGAATTTTAAAAATGTTTTCTGGAACTCTGAAGGGGTATTAATTATCTATGGCTGAGGCTAAACAGTGTTTTAGAGGAAGCTTACCTACATTTTATATGTTGACCAATTTTATTGTGTAGTTTTAAAACAACTGCATGCTGATTGGCTGACAGCTTCTTGAGTTGACATTATTCTGTAAGACACCTGACTCCTGCATAAGGTGCTAATTTTGGAACAAGAAATTGAATATTTTTGCCCAGGGTGATTGCAGGGCCATGAAAGCTCCTTGGTTTGTGCTAGTTTCAACTCTCAGCTCAAGCTTATAAATTGCTATTCCAGTTCAGAGCCCCATGTTAAAAGTGGTATAATTCCTTTAAAAGGTTACAGATACCACTTGCTATTAATCTCATTTTAAAAAGGGTAGGTGGGTTCATGTGTAGGCTCTGCCATGGCTCAGACTGCTCTGCAGGAATAAACATATTGGGTAATGCCAAGGGTTTGTCAGATCTGCCTGCTCTACTGGTACAGGGATGCATGGGGCTGGGTGAATTTTAAGTAATGGTTACAGTGAAGTTTAAGACCTTTACTTATCAGAACAATTTCCTTTGCTTGGACTCGATTGGTCCATGTCAAAAACGTGTTACATAACTTTTCTCTACCTGGGCTGGTCATCAGAATAAGAAGCCACTCAATCTATATCTTGACCGACCTATCCTGGCCTACTGACCTACCAGCCTACAGCCTACCATCTAGATTATGCCGTACTCTAGTGCTGTTTCAACTATCCTGCTATCACAATCGTCTAATCATACATACTGATTACTGATACACAACATGCTTAAGCATCTTGGTCGCACTATTGTCTTGTGAGCTTACAGAGTAAAATTTTACAAAAAATGGGTTTATTGTTAAGCAATGAGCATGCTAAATTTTGGTGTTTTGGGGCACGACATTTTTTAAAGGCATTGTGAAGAATCTGATTCCAGTCATCAAAAAAAAAAAGAAGAAAAATTAGGATAGGCAGGTACAGATATAAGTGTTGCTCTGCTGGCTCTGTATCGTTTCTGGCTATAGCTGCCTTTTGCACCCGCGCCCCGTAGGGGGGGGGGGGGGGCGAAACGGCCCCCCTGTCCTTTTCGGTCGATATCTCGTCAACGGCTAGAGATATCGCCACCAAACTTTCAGGACCCCTCCGGGCATCAATTTTACACATTGTGACCAAAACTTTTCCAGAGGCTACGATAGGTTGGCCACAAATGACGTCAGAATGACGTCATGTTCTGTCATTTTCGACCGAAAAAAGACCTTCGTGAGAAGACCTGTCAGGCCTACAGCTTTGAAGATACAGAGAAATGATCGAGACATAAAAGGTGTAGAATGGACAGGGCTACAAAACTGCTATCTCGGATTTTTGAAATTTTTGAGTTTTGACCCCCAAAAATCAAAAAAGTATTTTTTTTTATATATTAGCCAAATAATCCAAAAAAATTATGAGTTTCGAAAAAAACGGAATATATGTGATAGTACCTACCGTCTTCTATCTACATACCAAATTTCAGATCGATACCTCGTTTTTTGGCCAAGTTATAGCGAAAATACTGTTCAAAAATGATGACCTCAAATTTTCAAACTCAATTTTTGGCAATTCTAGACCTCGTAGAGCAAAACAAAGACCACCATTAGACTCCCCGTGACGAGCTGCATCGAATCGATACCCATTTTACGCAAAAATATCAACTTTGAAATTTGACCTAATTTGACCTGACCTTGACCTGACCTTCACCAAAACGTGACCTAGGCTGGCCCCAAAGGCTGCCTAACCCATATAATCGCATTTGTCATGTAAAATGGACCATAAAACATGGATCACACGACACTTTCATATTGTGACCCCGGTGACCTGACCTCGCTGTGACCTGACCTGGTACCAGTGACCTCATATACCAAAGTATGTGTTTGACGAAAAATGTACCATCGATGGTTTTCAATAGATTACCAATTTACTCGATTTCACGACACATTTCTTGAAATGCCTGTGAACGGTGAAAATCTGACCTTTGACCTGACCTGTGACGTCATCGGTTTGACCTAGGTCAATGAAATTTAGTCACAACGTAGTTCCCGGATGGGGCTATCAAACGCCGTTTGAATTTTGAAAATCGGCCTGTAAATTTCCGAGATCTTAGAAGGGGTCCGAAACGCCCCCCCCCCCCTACGGGTGGTAGGGTCCGCCGGTAGCCCTACGGGGCGCGGGTTAACCCGCGCACCGACGGGGGTGCGCGGGTTAAACTTGCGGGTTAGATCTCGAGAACGAAGCAAGCTAGCGACAAGCGGTAAACGGCTGGGATGCCCACGGACAAGATCTGCAAGATCTGCAATTTTTACGAAGGTCGTTTTCAGGTCAGGTCAAAGGTGACATCACAGGGGTAGAGAAAAGTCAAAATGGCAGCACTATAACGAAGATACCTAGATACCTATATAGAAACGAAGATACCTAGTTTTTTCTCGAATAACTTTCGAAGTAGCCAAGCTAGGAACAAACTAATGGCACCATTGTGATCCTTTCGTCAATCCGCATCAAATCGTATATGTGGTGACCTCAAAAAGTCAAGGTTAAAGGTTGACCTCAGGTCACGTGACCAAGGTCAGCATGTATTATCACTCGATGCGCCTTGACGAGCTGAACACAATGAGACCATCCGCGCGGCTGTATCTTGTTCCTGTAAGGAGTTATTAGCAAAAGAAAAAAAAACATTTGGTGACCCTTGATGACGTCACATGACCTTACAGTTGCCCAAGAGCAAAAAAGGCCTCAAGATAAAGATATACTCTGTTCCATTCCAAGCTTGCGGCCGAAGTGCCTTCCTGAAAGCAGTGCGAGATTTCTGTATACGCAGCTCTTACATTCAAGGTCGCAAAATAATGAACGGAGGAGCCAGAGCAAAATGCCGGAGGAAATCCGACCGCAAGCTTTTATGGAACAGAGTATAGTCAAGGTTGATCGTAGGTATATGAAGTCATTCATGGTATATTGGACCATCCGACGCGTTTTAGTGGAAAAAGCAGGGGGTTCATTTCCTCCCTCCCCCCATTGACTTATAATGGAGAGGTCAAGAAATTGACCTAACCTTAGGTCATGGTATCAAAATTCTAAGATATAAAAAGTGTAGCTATCATTGACCTCATTACATCCTACGACTTTCAAAGGCCTCCGTCATCTACTGTAGCTCTGACACAGTGACAAAGTTGCAAAAAAGTGCTTTGAGGTTGGGTCATTCGAAGTGACCTGGTGACCTGACCTTGAAAGGTAGGAAGTTCAAACTTGCACACCATGTGTAAAATTGATGAGGTAAAAGTAAGGTCAAATTTCGCGGCGCTACGCGGCGCAGTTTTTCCGCTATTCACGAAAAACCTCGGGGAAAAACGCATCATTTTATGCTTAAAAAGTGACACAACACACCGATACTTACAATACATTATACACAAAACGTTTATAGGCTACACCCGACCACCTGTTGAGTCAGGTGAGGTGAGGTTTCGTTAGGTAAGGCTAGGTAGTGCTCAATGAGCCCCACTCCCATCTCATGAGTTTCTCTGCACTCTCTCCCTACCACCTCTCAAAGTACACTCCCACTTATCAATTATGTTTTTCTTTCTTGTCCACAGTGGGATCTGTCGCAGGGCATCTCTTCATTCGACGATGTCAAGTTCGAGTCGGCCAGTGTGCTGGCGCAGCTGTTCGAGCAGCAGCAGCAGCAGAAGTGGGCCAAGGAGAAGCTGCGACGCGCCATCGAGATATCGCAGGGCAACTGCTACTGGCACTGCCGACTACTGTTCCAGCTGGCGGTGGGTGGACTGCGGCGCCCGGCCGACCAGTGCCGGGACATTGGGGCACACCGTGTGTTCGAGAGCTGTAGATGATATGCTATCCTTTACTCTGTCAGAGTATACGCAGTTGTTTGCTCGTGAGAATGCAGTTCTGTTAAACATAAGCTTGAATGATGCGTCACCACTCACCATCATATTTTGTCAATACAATTTTGTCTTAAGTGCTAGCAGTTGATTGTGCACACTGCATAATAAATACTTAACCTATCTCCAGTTATGTAGATAACTTCCTGATGTTAGACACAGATCCCACCTTTTCTGCTTGGTTGCATCTCACCCTTGGCTGACTGTCATTAATGTTTTTTTTTCCCGCAGCAATTGCATGCCAAAGAGAAGGACTTTGTGTCGGCTTGCGGCCTGCTCGGCGTCGGCGTCGAGTTCACCCGCATCTCAGGTGCCGGCTACACGCAGATTCTGTTCCTCCTCAGCAAGGCGATGGTGAGCAACAAACGGATACTGTGACCTGCAACAGTTGAAGTAGTTATTTTGTATGAGCAGGCGCCAGGCATCCCATCTCTTTGAATTAATTAGGTGAATTAATATCATGGAGAGGGAACTGCTTACATGACTGTGAGAACACCCATGCTTATTTTTTCGATATGGTCCTTTTTGTGGTGCTTGGATTTGTAATAGTCAATAATGCTAGCACGACCACCACTATTTGTTGATGATTCATAAGCTACTCACCTTTTCACCCACCTTGCCACGTCCTCAAAATATATCAATACTTTCAGATGTGGCTACCATTCTAAATCAACTGCAATTTGCTCTGCATGAACGGCGTATCCGTGCGCCTGTTGGTTTTCGTCAGCGTGTACGTCCCCAGGCATGTACCGAGTCTACCGACTGCCCATTCGAGATTCTATTTTAGAATCTGGTGGGAGCCGCTGTATAGGACGACCGGGCGTGGTAGTGGCCCCCTGGCCGCTGGCTTCCGCGTCCTATGGAGCGTCCTTCTTCACCTCCCTGACTGGACCGGAGGGAACAACATCGACGGGCTGTGTGCTGGGGAACAATGTTGACGAACTGTCTGTTTGCTGCCTATATAACCGACTGCTTGCTGTTGTGTGTCGCAGCTGCTGCTGGCTGAACGGAAGCTGAGTGAAGCGACACCTCTGCTGCAGCAGGGCGGCCCTCTTGTGGACGCCTGGCAGGGCAGCAGCCAACAGAAGGAGTACCTCAAGGTATGAGCCGGTGGACACAGTACTGGCTAACGGTGGCGCACCAGGACGTGCTCATTTGGGGGAGTGCAGTCATCCGTTGCTGCTCGTTGGTGCTTGTCTTTTCCCTTTCACTGACATATGCTGTGATAGTGAAGTTATATTGCCTATCAATGAGTCAATGCCTGTCAAAGAAATTTTATATTTTGAACTCCAGAGGTCAAACAGTGTAAACCTGAGTAAACCTTAGACACGTTGACGTGATAGGCTGTCCCCCGAGTAACTGTCGCCCCTTTTTAGCTATGCCCGTGCTGCTAAGTGCATCGTGTAGCCACTGCCTTGGATTGTTTCTCTGGTGGAAACCACATGACACTGGACCCTTTCAGCTGTGAGTGCCCGTATGGGCGCAGAGTCAGTGACTTCCATTACCCTCCACTCTCTAGTCTAGCCACTTGTGTAATCACTTTATCTTTCCGTTCGCTTATTGTCATAAAGACAGGGCTAGGCAATGAAATTATCAGATTAGACAGGAACAGGACAAGTATTTCTTGCCTTGGTCACCCAGCTGCGACTTATAGCTCTTATCTGATGATTCTCCCGTTCAGTCGCTTAGAAACTGACCTCCCTCCCGCTCAGTCGTCAAACTACTGACCGCCCCCTCCCGCTCAGTCATTTAACTCAATGACCGCCCCCCCCCCCTCCCCCCGTTCGTTCAGTCGTCAAACTGCCGTTCAGTCGCCGAACTACTAACCGCTCCCGCCTCCCCCAGGTGTTCTTCCTGGTTTTGCAGACCTGTTACTACCTGCTGGCTGGCCAGGTCAAGTGCAGCAAGTCGTGGCTGAAGCAGCTGCAGCAGAGTGTGGAGGACATCGCCAAGTGGGCCGATGAAGGTTAGTGGACGCCGCCGGGGCTCATGGAAACATGGGGCAGCGACAGATTCGTAAAACGACAATGGCTGGCTCACGCTGGTGTTCGCTGTAGTTAGGCTATGCCTGTGTGTATTTGGATGCACATGTTGGAAAGCAAAAGGTACTCTGATCTCCGATCTCATCCAAGTTATTTCGTTGGTGCCAGGGGTGCCGGATAGGTTAGTATGCTGTGCTGTTCGCACACCAAACACTCATTTTGTGTAGAGCCTGTCCCTTTCTCTCCTCCCTATTTCTCAGTTGTTTTGTTATCCCGGGCGCTGTATCGGCTTTTCACTGAATGCATGTATTCTCCCTTCGTGCAGCATGAGCTCTATGCCCTTTTACAAGATGTAACTTGCATCCAACCAGACATGTGCACGGATCCGAGAAAATGGATCTGGGATCTGATCCCACGGATCCTGATCTCAGATCCGACGGGATCATAGATCCAGCTCTGTAATTTATCGAGAGATCCGTAGGAATCACAGATCCGAGTCTCATTTTTTGCTTGAGATCCAGTGAGATCATAGATCCTCACTTTTTTTGTCAACACATATATAAAAAACACTTAATTCAACCCACAAACGTTCTGTTTTAGTGATTTTATGTGATCGCACGTCATAATCCATAGTTTTGTGTCACTTATTGGCATAGAAACACTTAAAAACATGGTTTCAAATGTGGTGCATGGTGGGATCCACTCAGATCATAGATCCATGTTCTCAATTTATCGTCAGATCATATGAGATCATAGATCCAAGATGTATTTTTCACGCCGGATCCGGTGGGATCATAGATCCCAGCCTGTACTTTGCCTCGAGATCCACTGAGATCATAGATCCATCACTCGGATCCATGCTCATGTGTGCATCCAACCATGATTTGTTTACATTGATATGCGTTATTGTTGGGTTTACGATAGCGGCTGGCTTTGTTCTGTTTTTGTGCACGTTAATTTTATCGAATTCCCACCGACTTCCTGCTTCATGGCATCTTATTTGGCACGGTAGGGATATAGTATAGAGTAATTGATGCTCGCGTTTTACCGAAAAGGCATCTGCAGGCCATTCAGAAGCAAGGGCCTAATTTTAAAAAGTGCCGTACCTCTTATTCTATGTACGGGTTTTGGAAAATATAGGTATAAGGATACCAGTGTAGCAAATGCGTCTCGGAGGGAACCAACGCTTCATTAATCCTCGCCCGCATATGCCATTTTCCCATCCTAGAACGCACATGGGGGGGGGGGTTGCCACCCCCGCGCCATTTCGTTCCTGTTGGAGATAGAGCTTAGCGGTAAAGACCAAAAAGATTCTTTTGGAAGAGACGAATCCAATGATACCCAGTTTTACCTTCTCAGGTCAGTCATTGACCTTCCAGGTCAGGTCAAACTAAAAAATGTTGCTGTTTTGGGTCACCGTTGGATATCAAGTGCGCTCAGCTTATCATATACCGATGACGATGCTATTTTCTGGTGCCAAGCCAGCTAGAACCTCTTTGTCACACTACCCGACCAGATTTTTGCTGCTGAGGTCATTTCAGGTCAAGTTAGGTCAAGGTCAGTTATATGTGTTTGTATGTCTTTGTGTGTCTGTGTGTATACTGATGTGTGCACCGACAGTTTTTGTGTCCATATTACATGGAATCATGATCTGAGAAGCTTTTACCAAAAATGCAGTCAAAAAACTTCACAAAAAGTAAATTCAGCTTGCCTAAAACGCAATTATCTTAGATGGCCTAGGTTGACCTTGACCCTGACCTTGACACCTGTACATCGTCGAACAACATGTTCCATGATAGGTGGGAGGTAAGACTGGCAAAAAAGGCCGAAATCAAGTTGTCAAAAGCTCACAAGGCCCATGGCAAACACAAGATGTTGAGAATTGGCGATTTGGGTCATGACATGACCTGGAAAACAAGGTCATATCTCCGAAACAAAAAATCACAGAAACTTGAAATTTTCAGTTGACATAGTGGAAAGGATAGAGGAGCAGCTATACGAAAAATCAGCCTTCTAGCTCTAAAAATGTTGAGTGCAGAGCAGAAAGACTACCTGGGGGGGGGGGCAACCACCCTCCCCCCCCCCCCCGATGTGCGGGCGAGGGTTAAAACTTCAGCTTGGTCTGCCAAATTCTTTCTACTGCATTTAAACGATTGGGCTCTGAGCATGAGTCGCCCAAACCCTAAGCTCTGGGCAGGTGTTCGGTCCCGAGGCGCCCTCTTTTCTCCAGGTCAGTTTGCACTGTTGCGACTTGCGAGGGCATTCGAGACAGTCCTGTCCTACATTTGACGACGTAGCAACTGGCTCAGGCAGCAATAATTGTTCCACACTGCGCCACTGACGTCAACACTACAGCGAGCTAATAGCCTGTAACGCGAGCCCCGTCCTTCGTTGAACATCGGTCGGCGAGCCGTGTGCGATGATCTCTCGGGCGCCTGTCGTCGCTCTCCGCGCCGTCGCACTTAATCTGTTCTCTGCGGTCGCTGGGCTCTCTCGTCTCCGATTATATTATGTTCCCGCGCCGTTGCACCAATCATTTTGCCCTGTGCGGCCGCTTGTTACTTCCTAGCGATAGCTTATACCTACTGAGCTATTTGTAGGTTACGTCCGCCGCTGCCGTGTGTCGTGTCAGCCTGCTGTTAGGTTACGCGGCAAGCCAGAATTGCGCTTATATAACCGACACATACCCGTTTCTTATTGACTCATACCTGCCGCTGTCTCGCCGGCCTCGGTCAATTTCTCCGCCTGTCGGTCCGATCTCGTCTTGTTCAGTGGTTCGCGTTTGCCCTGGCTTGTCGGTTCGCTCGCTCCGTTCGACCCATCATGTGCTCCCGTCCAGGGTGGCCTCGCTATGAACATGCCGTCTCTGCTGCCGCTGCATGAGGCTGTGGCTGCTGAATGACAACCTTTGGCCGCCGGGGTCACCACGGTGGAATTCAGCGGTCTGAGCCAATGACGGCCGCGCTGCCCAGTGTTTGTCTCAGTTGTTTTACCGCCTGTGATCGCTGAGGGATTTTGCTGCTTTTGGGTACCTTTCAGACTTGATCAGGAGGAGGAGATGGAGGGACCTGGTGTATCGACTTGATGTTATGTTTCGGTTGTGAAATGCAGACTGTCCAGATGGCTCTGTAAAAGAGGGAGATGTTTTTTGTGCTTAACGAGCTCATCGAAAGGATCTTGAAGGCGCAACAATATTTTAAGGCCGCTGAGCTGTTTGTTCTCGATGTAACTATCCGAGGCGTTTGGCGTTTCATTTCGGCCACCTTACCTTCCCGCCTGTGTCCCGCTGACGTGTGTCCGACCTTCCCTTCCCTGTCGCCTTTCAGACCGGGTGCCGGCGTCAGCGAGCACGGCCGACATGTTCATGTGGCTGCCCAAGGAGGAGCTGCGCGTGGTCGTCTACTTGGTGACAGTGATGCACTCGATGCAGGCCGGCTACATGGACAAGGCGCAAAAGTACTCGGACAAGGCGCTGAATGAGATCGGCGCCCTCACCGGTGAGAGATGGGGAGGGGAGGGAGGCAGGGAACTGGGGGATGGAGTTTGAGGGGTGCTGGTCACAACAGCTGGTTGAGCAGCAGCTGTTGCGGGTGGTAAGGGTAGGCTGCTTTTGGACTTTGGTCGGACTGATCCCCGAGCTTGAGTTGTTGCATTTTCCGAGGGTGATGCTTAATATGTGTAGACTCAGTCTTGTTTAGGGGTGTGGAGAGGGATAGCGGTGTTTGAATGGTCTGGGAAAACCGCCCATGAATGTCATGGTGAAAGCATCGCTAACGGTTTTGCGGACAATGAGGTGGCAATGAGTGTTTTCGTTGACGTAAGAATTTGAACAGCTTAGGGGGACGTGTGAGGCGCTGTTTAGCGTTTGCTTTTGAATCGCAGGTGTGCTTGATATAATTTCCAGGCGGCAACGTTGAATATCGTGTGGATTTCCACTCCAGATCCCTTTTGGATATCCGTGTTTCTTGAAGACAAATGGTTTATCCTGCAGTGTTTTATATTTTAACATCTTAGCTGTTGCGCGCGTGCCTATGTCACCGTAACGGCTCGTAAGGGTATGTAATATAATGTGCATAGATCGTGCTGCGCAAGTGCTGCGTACCGTTTCCCGGGGCTGAGCCCCGGCTGGTGCCGCCCCAAAGCGGTGTTGTCCCACATCACTGTTTCGTCCCGTACGCGCCAGATGTCTCTACTGACCACCTCTCGTTGCCGGCAGCCTCTGCAGACCGTCCGATCCTGCATACGTTCCAGCTAATGATTCTGGAGCACATCGTCCAGTGTCGACTGGTAATAGGCGACAACGCCGGCGCCATTCAGGAGATCGCCAGCCTGTGCCAGATCTGCCAGCAGCGGCCCAAACTGCTCAGCGGACACAGGTGACGAGATGCGGCGCGGACGACAGGTGGCCCAGGGGTCGGCGGGAGAGGTGGCCCAGCGGTCGGGGGGGGGGGGGTTGGCCCAGGGGTTCCGCGAGGAGGGCGATGGATATCCCGGTGGTGCGGCAGGAGAGGCAATGGTGGGTACTGGGTCGTTTCGGGTAGCCGAGGACGGGATTACGGCTCGCTTTTGCTAGACGCTCCCTCCCGCTTCGTAACTTGAGTGCTGGGAGCACGATTGTTTGATTAGCGTTGTGTCATTTAACCCAAGAGCCGCTGGGGGGGGGGGGGGGGGGCATAAAGTTGCCCCCCCTTACGTTTTGTGGAATATCTCCGAAACCTGATGAGCTACGAACGTGAAACTTGGCATAGCTTCAAATGAATACCTAGGCAATATTTGAGGAAAGTTTGGTGGTTGTAGCACTTAAGATGACGTCACAGTGACGTCATAAAGTTTTGTCGTTTTCCGATATGGACCGTTTCTGATGTCGCTGAGCATGAAACTCAACTGTAAATGAACCAGACAGCACCTGCTGTCATCCTAAAACATCTAAGTATACTTCCAATTAGTTCCTGACCAATAATCGGTCCTTTATATTCGTTATCATATGTCTGATATATCGTGAGGAAACTGAGATTCGCAAATCTATAATTTGACTTCTGACGTCACTGTGACGTCATTTCAAATGGGATCGACACCAAATTTGGACATAACCTCGGCTAGGTATTCAGGAAGATGTGTGCAAAGTTTCGTTTCTCTATCTCTTTGCGTTGCGACGATATCGTCGCAGAAGTAAAGGGGGCAACTATATGCCCCCCCCCCCCAGTTAACATGTAAATTTGAGCGTCTTTAATTCATGCCACGTGCGTGAATGTTATCCATAATCAATTCAGCAATTTTACCTGACATCATGGCATCATATGACGACGCCTGCTAAATGCCATAACGAGGTCCATACAGCCGAGCCCCTCGTTCCGTCTGTCCTTATCCCGACCCTCCTAAGTTGAGGTTCGAGTTCCCCGTCTGCGTGTCTTGGTGGACGATAAGTGTTCCCTACCCTGCCGGTAAACCCGAGAGCGACTCCCCGCGTGCTCCTGTGTCAGATTACTCTGCTGATTGTGTCGGCTGGCAACGTGTGTGGGGCAGTTGTGCCTGCAGCGCAGGGTAGCTGGCGATTAGAGAGGTCCCCGACATCATTTTTAGTTTACGTGTGTGGTTTCTATGATTGCTTGATGAAACGTTTATTTGCTTAGGCGACCTCCGTGATTGCCATCCACTATCCAGATGTCCATGGACCCTATTTCTGCCGCGTAACCGTTTTGTTTTGCAATTCTTCCTCCCCATCCTACGGCATCCCTTTTATTTTGTCAGCCTATCAGTCAACGTAATTGCACATTAGCTTTTCCCCTCTTTTATCTCAGCAATTTCTGGAGCACTTGCTAGTTTCTACTCAGTAGCTGTTCCTGTCGTGCGCATCGCTCGCTGCCGATCTGCCCTCTGCTGGTCGTATTTGCTTTCTGGCCGTTGCGCCGCTGTAACTCCAACTCCCGAGACATTCGTCCGATGCTCCCTCTGTTAGCGCTCCCGACTCTGCTGTGTTCGCTACTTTATCCACCTGGCACCACTGTCCTGACACCTGGTGCCGCTTTGTGCGTGCGTGCGTGCGTTTGCCATCCGACAGAGCCGAAACTCACACAGTCAGAGGTGCTCACCTGAGAGTTTTCGCCGCTATGCCCATGTATTTGTTCTCACATACAGCATGTAGGACTTAGATCCTCTGTGTGTATGTTCGGACACCGATGTCTTTGTTCTCCTACAGGGCCCAGATCCACTGTGTTTGGTATGTTCTGACACCAGCATATCCAGTGTTTGATATGTTCTGACACCCGCGTTGTGTTGCCCTTCGGCAGGGCCCAGGGCCCCAGATCCACAGTGTTTGGTATGCTCTGACACCAGATTCACTGTGTTTGGTATGTTCTGACACCGCTGTGTTCGTCCTCCGACAGGGCCCAGATCCACACAGTGCTCGGTCTGTACGCCATGAGTATGAACTGTATGGAGCCGGCCGAGGCCCAGCTCAACGCTGCACTACGGGTGAGTGCGCGACGCTCGTGGCCAGTCAGCGCTTGGCTAGCTGAGTATCGGATGGCTTTGGTACAGTCGTATACAATATCGGCAACGATGAAGGCTAAGCATCAGGCTCATTTCTGCATTATTTTTCCCCTTTGTATTTGGTCATCTTGCAACTGAATATGATTGACCATTGATCTGTTTGACCGTCCTCTTGGTATGAGCAATATAGCAAGCACAGTTTGTAATTAATTAGTCTACCACCTGTCACACGTACTTATTTATCATCATGATGTCGTCTTGCGCATTATCATCAGCAAACTCAAATAGAAATTAAATCTGCGTCAGCTGGCGGCTCCACTTTGTCTCTTTAAACATCAAATCCGTCTACCAAGTGCTTGGCCACTCTGGTTTTGATTTCGGCCCATATGCTCGACCACGATGGCGCCACACGTAAGCCACATTTACCCGAGTCCACGCCTACTGTTGGGAGCGGACTTGTCGATGTATCAACTTGATACTATCAAGTATAGTTGTCCTGGACTCGGCTGACCTGTGGCTCCCCTCTTCTCGCATTTTTAGGTCACCCAGTTATCATGTGTTCTGATGGTTGCCCTAGCGTTACTCTGCAGCTTTGGGAAATTAATTCTGGTGATTAGAATCGCCGCAGGAACGGCGGCCGTCCCCTCACCCTTCGCCTCAGCTGTCTGGGGTGCCAGCTCCTAATGTGTCTGGCCCAGCGCGCGGCCGTCGCCGTAGACGCCCCGGCGTCTGTTTGTTGTGGACCTGCCTCGGGCACCTGGCCTCCCCGACTCCACGTGTGACCTCGTGTGTTTGCGGTGCGCGGTCGGCCGGTCAGACGGAGATTTGCACCGGGCCGTCTGAGCTGCCCGCGGCCGGTTCGCCGAACGCCAGCCGCGGCATCCTACGGAGAGCGGGACTATCTTTGGCGAGTGCGGTGGTTCTGGAAAGTGGTCACAGACGGGACAGGATAACCGGCGGATTACTGTTCCGAGCCGCGGCAGGTCGTTTGTTTGTCGGATATTGGTCAGAACGAATCTGGGAACCGATGTCTCCGATGGCAAAACTTGTGTAATGGGAGTTCAGTGCATTTCCTCATCGTGTCTCATATGACGTAAGTAAAAATCAGCCAGTTCCTGAAATGATCCATTCGCTTTTACGTACTTATTGTTATCGTTCCAGCAGCATGTTCAGAACCAGCATCGTTAATCGATTTTTATCTGTGCTGGTGGCTCATCCAGCGGCTTGACCGTGGTAGTAGTTCTGTTGTATCCGGCAGCCTCCGTGAAGTAGTGGGTGCTTGTCGCAAATGAGGTAGAAAAACTGGAACAAGAAAAACGGACGCCGGTTTTTCCGGTGCGGCTGCGTATGTTTGTGTCGGTGCCTTTCGAGCCGGCGGCCGGCTGTGATCGCGCCGCGGCAGGGGGAACTGAGTTCACCTGCCCGGCGCGTTCCGCCCGCAGTCCAATCGCAGTCTCTGGCGGAAAGTACAGACCACGTCTCCCGCGCGTAACCGGACTGCTATTTGAATGCACCACTACTCCGAACGGAGAGGTCGTGGCAGGGTCGCGGTACAAGGTGCCGGCGCAGTTTTGTCGTTCTGTGACAAAAGTCGTCACGTCACCGGTGTCGTATGATCAGTGGTACGGCTGTGACGTAGTGCGGCGCTGCCGCTGCGCTGACTCAGTTTCGGCGAACGGACGAGGACACCTGGGGGGGGGGGGGGGGGGGGCGCCGCGACCCGTTCCCACCTGTGAACTTGCCGCCCGGACCGGCGCCGCTCCTACCTGGTGTGGTGGGCGAAGTCGGCGGCCCGCCCGCCCGCTCGCCCGCTCTGTAGGACGACGTGTTCGGAGGATTTCGGAAGCTCCGATCGCGAACAGACGCTGATCCGATCCGCCCGCTGGAGTGGTAAACCGAGCGCGGCTGTGGGAATTTTGCGCTTAATTTTTTTCATGGCCACGGTATGTGGAAATCATCTGACCGCATATCTCGGTATCAGGAGCGCTCTAATATCAATCATGTCTCATCCTTATCCAAGAGCTCCTTGAAAATGCTCGTTTCTGTTTTGATTCGCATATGACCTTGTCATTGGTCATTGATGTGCATTTGTCGGTGGGGATTACGTCAGAACGAATCTAGCTAACCCCATTCCGCAGTTGCAAACATTTTCTGCCTCAATGGTGCTAGTTTGAGGCCCAGACATCTGCGTGCCGCAACTGGAAATGCCCAGAGCGGCGGGCGTCCCGGACGGTAGCCGCCCCTGTGGCCAAACATCCGGGCGCCAATCGGGCGGCAGACCACGCCGCCACGGACAGAAGTCGCCAGAGCCCAGCGGTCGAATCAGCGCCGGCGGCTCGCGGGGGTGGCTCTCCGGCAGCGCGGGGTGGCGGCCGTCCGTCGGGGCGGGGGTGGCTCTCCGGCAGGGCGGGGTGGCGGCCGTCCGTCGGGGCGTGTGGTGGCGGTCACAGGAAGGTGACGGCAGCGCTCGTGCATGTCCTTTGTTTGCCGAGCTACGTATGTACGAGCTGTCGCTGCCACCGTGTCAGTAATTGGTCAGCGGTAAACAGCAGCACTGTTTGGCGGTCGGGAGGTATGCGCCCAGGTGGCGGGCATCTGTGTTCTGTGGCAGCGGGCATCTGTCGCCCCGGCGGATCGTGACGAGCAGACGGGAGATGAGGCCGGGGCCCGCGCGGCACCGGATGGGGCCCGGTTCCGGCCGCCGCTGCCCGGTCGTCTGTTTTGTGCAGCCGATAGTAAACAGAGCTGTGATCGCTGAGACGCCGCTGACACGGCTTTTGTCGCCAGCACTTCAGTTCGCACGCGACTGGGAACCCAGTTTCATGAGTCGTGAGGGATTTAGTGCTGAGCGACCAACGAAAGGAACTGATAAAGGAGGGTCACACATTGCTTGCGATAGGACGTTATGGATGTTAACACGTATTTATATGCAATCGTTTTAGTTAGGGCGATTGTCACTGTGCAAACTGTTGGATTACTTCCTTAGATTTTGTTCTGAAAACTGAAATGCTCATATTTGTATCTTCGTAGGATTATAGGGACTTCGTCCCTTCATGTTGATGACATCAATTGTTGTCAGTTTGACAGAGATTCTCAATTACTTATCAATGGCTTTTAACTTCGTCGTCGGCAAATATGGACAATCCTGAATTCTGAATCAGACGGCCATTGCTGAATTGAAATTCAGAGCAGCGCGTGACCTATAAACGTTCGATATTTGAGAGCGAGCTTTTGTCATATGTTCCTTGATTTGATGCACGTGGACTCCATGGCCTTGGCCTGAATCAGAGGTCAGATCAGCCGCACGGATGATGGCGACCGTCACGTCAAGCCTCCTGCAAACGCTGTCCTGTATCGATAAGCAGCCATCTCATCTGCACATGACATCCGAAACGGATACTCTATTCAACCTGGCTGCACCGAAACGCTCGCATGCCAGGAATGTCTCGCATACATCGCAGAGACGTTTGCTTTTTTACCCAGCCAGTGCCACACACAGCTCGGGGGAATCATTCTACCGGCGAGTTCCTGGATTCCGTCGGCGGATTCGCGTGCTTTTCAGCGTGTCTCTGCGCTGAATGATGCTCCATTAGGGAGGCTGCCTACAGGATCCTGTCAGTGGTGCCCGGAAAAATGCCCGGTTTTGTTGCAGGGCTTTGTTTATGGACGGAAGTTTTCCATCTGATAGCGGGTGGACAAGGGTTTGCCAGCATCTCATTTGTCGGCGGGTCACTGGGGGTGGATTTTTCGGGTGCTCCAGTCACGCTCCAGTTGTGTACCGGGAGGAGGCGCGGGGTCCGCCGGCGGTCCCGGTCGGCGCAGCGCTGCCCGGCTGCGGGGTGTACGCCGGGATTTTTCCGCGCCGCGCCGTCGGCGCTGTGGGAAATCCGTTGACCCGTATATGGAGAAGGGCATGGTGTAGCCCACCACAGAATGCTGCTGTGTTGGTAGCTCCAGTTGTTTTACTGTGCCTTTTTGAAATGGTTTCTGCTTGTCTTGGGCCAAATGGTTGATTTGATGATGCACAGTGCACACTGCTCATCCGGTGATTTTTGGTGTTGGCGTGTGCGGTCGTGTATTCGCAGTTAAATTAACCGCGCCGATGTCCTTCATCCTAGAGCTCGATACGCAGTAGCGGAATAACCACTCGGCTCCCGAGTCCCAACAGTCCTATAAACGGGAATGGCCCAGTGGTGAAATGCAACTGGTATACCTTGTCATAACTGTAGCTGCTTGCTCACCACAGGCTTCTGTGCCGAGAGACATTTCTTCAAAACGCAGGTGGCGCTCACACAATGCGAACTTGCCGTTAATACGGCTTACAGTGGCTTGTAGCGTGGGTATGTCCTCGCCAATTCTGTTCAAACATGGTGATAAAGTCGATACCTACTTGAAAAACTGCATTGTCTACATTGTGCCTTTCATGCATTGTCCTCATTGTTTTACACATTAGAATGGTCCTTTCGGTGAAGACGGGAAAGCTTTCTTCTAACGAAATTCGAACCACCATTGTGCCACTGCAAACAGCTCTTTCCAAAGTAAATTCGTTTGATAGTAGTCCCCTAGCCTCTATTACAAACCCTCATTTTACCCTTTTACCATCCACATCTTATCATGTCGTTCCCTGTCTGCCTTGGATGTGTGAACTTCTGTGCACGAATTGACCCCGTGCACCTCCCGGCTCCCTATCCCCTCATACCCCGCCTTCCGGCTGACCCCCCCCCCCCCCCTCTTCCACCGACAGACGTCACAAGAGCGCGAGCTGTGGACGTTCGTCAACATGAACCTGGCGATCGTGTACCTGCGCACCGGTCGACAGTCGGACTTTCTGGGCCTGCTGGACCGCATCAGCCCCGAGTCGCTGCCCAGTCAGTCACACAGTCTGCGCGCCGCCAGCTACTACGTACAGGGACTACACGGCTTCTTCCAGCGCGCCTTCAATGACGCCAAGTGGGTTCCGCCGCCGACTGGAGGGGAGGGGGCTGGGTGTCGGTGCCAGTCGGTGCAGTGAATTAGTGCGTGTAGAAGGAGGAGGGGGGGGCATTGACACTTGGTGTCATGAATGGGGATTAGGTTGCATGTCGTTACTCGACGTTTGAGGATAACGATATTAGCAAGAGTTTTGTTTCAAAGGTGTGAATTTAGGGTGTTGTTAAACTACCTGAGAACAGGTGTGGCATGTTGACACCATTTTACTTGCCGTAGTTTCGCCAACGAAATGTGAAACTCATTTGCCAGTTGGTGTATGTTTTTTAGCCCTGGTCTATGAGTAACTCCGGGTGGGGAAAACGTCCCGTCTCCAGGATGTGCACGGGACCCCTGCAGTAGTATGTTATGACGACGTATGGGTGGCGTCCCACGCTAGTAGCGGAGCCGGGACCGGGGAACACCGGACACCGCTCAGCCACGCACCCAAAAATGTCGCTATACACAGCGTGGTCCACAGCCAGACATATGTCGTGGAGAAGAAATGCCTTACAAGCAGCCTCAAATGTTTCTTCCTTGTAGCTGGTGGGGGAAATAGGTCAGTCGAAGCATATGATTTTCATATTTTGCTCCCAGCTGTAGCTGTGGTCTGTGCGGTGTGGCCGCGAACCAGGTGTACCGTTTATTTCGGTCGGCGGCGCTCAAAAGTGCCCTCGAAGGTCCTGGGACTGGACATCTGTTGGTGCTAAGTGTTGTGCCGCTAACTGACCGCGACACAACAGGAGGCGAGCGACACAGCTGCCGCCCGAGCTTGTTAACCAGAGCAAAAATAGCAGCTGCGCCGCCCGCAGGTCTGCCCTGCCGTGAGTCACGCCGAACCGACCTGCCAGGCGGAGGGAAAACATCGCTGCTGGGATGCACCGCGCCCATAGAGCAATGGGACTTTTCGATCCTGTGACGATATATCCTGTTACGGTCCCATGTGCGCTTCGTCGGAGCGATTTTCGGGCTCGGCGCTGCGTTGCCACCTGACCAATCCCGGCGAAAGTGTATGAGCTGACTTCATGGAATGGCATAGCAGCCACTTGGGTGCGAGTCCGTTACGATAATGGCACCTCTTCCCGCGATTGGCCGACTACCGCACGGGATATCGGGTGCAGACATCTGCCCAACCGAGGGCGCTACTGCGCGCCGCCGAGTGTTCCGATGAACTGAAAACGCGCGGGCGAACAGGTCGCTCACCCCGGCTGCGGTTGCATAGCTGCACATATTTGCCGAGAACTGTGTTAGGCGGTGAAAGATAGCGTCCGCCGGGCCCGTCCGACGCCGCTCGCGTGCGAGCTGTTACTATCAGTGACTCACGCCTCAGCGACGGCCTTGGGTTGGGGAACATCCTGCTGCCGATGTGGGTCTGCCAGCGGAAGATCACGTCCGCCTGCTGAACCAATTAAACACGGCCTGAATTTTCACAAAGCGGCGCCTTACGAAAAATCGTCCGCCCGCAGCGGTGTTGGCGGCGGGGAAATTGCCTGACCTATCTCACCGTGTTTTCCGATGTTCGCCAGCCGGCACTGACCAAATATAGTCGCCCACTCGCGCTATCGTTTGTTGCATAAGCGATGACATCAGCCGCCGCGAGCGCTCTCAAGGCGTGCGATAGTACCGAGTCTCCCTTCTCCTTACCCTTCCGAGAATCAGCAGGGCGTCGACGGAGAAGGTTGGGTCACTCACCCTGTCGGGTGACGTCCTCGGCGCCTGGCCGCCGCCTGACGTGAGCAGGGATGTATATCGTCTGACCGCACGACACCCCTTCCAACAGGCGCTACCTGCGGGAGACACTGAAGATGGCCAACGCCGAGGAGCTGAACCGGTTGACCTCCTGCTCGCTGGTGCTGCTCGGCAACATCTTCCTCTCGCTGGGCAACAACCGGGACAGCTTCAACATGGTCACGCCGGCCATGCAGCTGGCCAGCAAGATCCCGGACGTCAACATCCAGCTGTGGGCGTCAGCTGTGCTCAAAGGTAAGACCAGTGGGACGTACTCATGGTTTCGTCTCCCGCTGGTGATGCGATGTGTTATCGCTGCTTTTCTTAGCAGTTATGACTGCTCGAGCTTAGTGATCCCGAAACGCCAGGCCCCAGCTTTCACTCATTCCCATTCCAGGTCATCTGTCAAATTATATTCCAGGGAATGATGTACTGTCTTGTGTTTAGGACTCCCCGCGTTGTGGTGAGGTAGCCACTTGGAGTATGCATTGTCCATCCTCTATCAGAGTGTGTTGATTCCGGCGCTGCGTGTGGCATCCCCCAGCCACCAGCGTGCGTCCGCTAGGCTTACCGGCACTGTGGGGTGGGCCGGGCCGACAGGAGACCCGGGGCGCCCCCTGTCGCCGCGGTGTCGCAGATGATGCGCTGTATGGCGAGGATGGATGTGGGTGTAGCATCCGCGTTGGGCAGGGGATTGCAATCCAATCCAACCAATCCAACCAATCCAACCAATCGATTGGTGCGCTGGTTGGTGGCTGCTACCGATTGGGGATTCCGCTAACCGCATTGGAACTGGCAACTATCGACTGTTTATGGGGCATTTCTCAGAGCGTGGGCTGGAGACGACTTCACCGAGCTCTGCCAACAATGGTGTGCGGTCGCAGAATGGCGGGATATTTGGCAGATGTGGGACTTGTAAACAAAAGTTGTTGCTTTGGCTTGCTGCAAATCCACAGACATTTTGTGATGATATAGTATGTCATTCACTTGAGAGGTCGTTGCCTTAACTGAGGTCAGGTTTTTGGAAGCTAGACTAATTAAAAGTTTTCTTTTTGTCGGGTTCACTCGCTGTCAATCATGCCTGCATGTGTGGAGTATGGGGAGTGTTTTCAGCGGCTGTCGTTCTTAATTGGTCATAAAAATACTTCTGCATGAGCTTGCTGGCTAGATGTTTTAGCTAGTAATTGGCTAATCATGCAAAACAATGATTGTTCAATGGTCGTAACCGTATTGTTGTTATTAGCTCTCATTGAGTTTTTCTCGGCTAATTCACTGACAGACGGCCGCATCTGCTACCGGACATAGGAATGAGACTAATGATTGCCCGTCATTGTTCTGCAGAGCATTCGGGAACATTGTTGCGGTTCCTAGGAGCCAATCGTCATTACTCCGCGGGATGTGGCGTTCGTTCCGAACAGGACTGCGTGTTTAGTAGGAAGTCTGGATCCGTTCCGACCGTCAGGGTCATTAGGTGCACCGTACCAGTGACAGTCACACTCCGGCTAGAGAGGACTGGCCCGGTTTTACCTGTGGTCGGCCGGTGCTTCTGTCCGTAGTGGGGTATGTGGTTCAGGCCGCCTGCCGTAGGTGGCTCAGTTAGTGGTAGATGTCCATCTTTACCCGTCGATGGCTGTGGTAACTGAGTCTTTGATGGAGTTTCGGTGTATGCCCGGCGGTCAGTCCTCGGCAGACGTTTGCTGTAGCAACTGGGACTTTCGTTAGGTCCCTGTGGATGGCCGTCAGTGTTCAGCGGACGGCCCCACCGGCTGCTGCGGCTACAGGGACTTTCGTCAGGCCCCAGCTCACGATCCCGCCGTGTGCCGTGACACTGGGACTTTCGTCAGGTCCCGTTGGACGATCTCATTGCCCAGCGCACGGTCCTGCTGCGTGCCGTGACAACTGGGGCTTTCGTCAGTCCTAATGAACGGTCGTCAGGTCCCGGCGGACGGTCCGTCCGACTGCCGTGGTGACTGGGACCGCCGTCAGGTCCCGATGGTCGCTCCCCGTCGGCGCCCCCGGCCTGTGTGTCCTCCAGCACCACTCCAGTCGTCAGGGGGTCACTGCCCGACGGCGGACCGCTGCTGTGGCAACAATGACAGCTGCAGCAGCAACGTCGGCGTGACCGCTGCCCCCCCCCCCCCCGACAGGCGCAGCCGACAAAAATCTCCCCCTAGAGTGTCCCCGGCCGGAACTGGTGAAAAAGTCGCTGGACTCGGGCCCTGCAGCGTGTTGCAGAGACGATCGGGCCCCGTGGGGACCCGGCTGGCTGTCGTCGGGTAGCGCCTCCACTAGACCCTGCTCCAGCCGCGGCGACCACAATTAGAGGCGCTGTATTTTTCCGATGCAGACTGACGGGCGGCTGTATTGTTTACGGGCCGCCGGGTGGTGGTGGCCGTTTTTCCAGCGTAGCCTGTTGCGCCCTTCGTGTGTTAGATGCGATAACCGGCTTGCGGGCCGATGCGGCGACGATGCCGACATTCTCTGATTGATATCGCCAGATATCGAAATTGTCTGGAGCTGATGACCGCAGGTGCAGGACTGGTCGGCCCGACGCAGCTGTGACTGATTTGACTGACCTGTGTCGGGTCGGTGGGGATTTGTGTCGGGCAGGCGAGGACCGATTGGAAGGGTTGACGAGGGTTTGCTGTGTCGTTTAGGGAGCCAGGCAACGACTAGTCTGAACGCGTGTTTCCGTGAATGTTGCTGAATGCATTACAGAATGAGCCCGGTCGCATGTAAGGCATATGACACTACTATGACACGCGTGTGACAGCTGTCAGGAGACATCCGACAGGACTGTGGCAGCCGCCGGACAGAGTTCGTTTGCGGGCGTGGCGTGACAGTCCGGTGGCAGTTATTGGCAGTGATGGACAGGCCGTGGCCGGCCCTTTGACAGCCGCTTGACACTCGTCTGGCGGCTAGTATTTTCAGTGAATGTCCCGTTACTCCGTACGGTGCCGTGCTGTCCGGTTCGTGTCCGATCGACCGGGGCTCAGTTGTCGGTGGTGTGACTCAATCCTCTCGGGTTGAACTACCGGGGAGCTCCTATTCCCTGGGGATCCTATCGTCTCTCCTCCGCACAGCACACCCGGTAGACATGATAGGTGAACGGATCACAGGGCCGGCCGCCGGCTGGTGGACCCTGGCCGGTCACCTCACCAATCGGCCCATCAGCGGCCGTGTTCGGTCAGCGGGTGTCGGCCGGCGGTCACATGCACGGTCGTGTCTCGGTGACAGCGGTACTGCCTCCACCAGTAACGGTACGGCCCGCTCCCCGCGGCCCGCCCGGTCCCGCACGTCGTGTTGACACCGCCGGCTACAGGTGTTCCTGTCGCCGCCGATATGAAGACGTGCTGTTCGCCCCCGGGATGATCCGCGCAGCACCGGTTCACCGCGCGGGGTTAGGTGCTGGCGGGGAAGGTGAAACCTGCACGTGGCAGCGAGCATGGGTGTGCGGCCGCTTTGGTGTGACAGGAACTGGTAACTGAAGTGGCCGGTTCGGTGGCGGCGACTGGTTTCAGGAATTTCACCTCCGCTGTTAATTACGTCGTCAGTAATGGCGTGTTTAAAGCATGTTAAAATATCCGACTGCCATTCCGCGTTGGACGTCTCGACTCTCGCTGGACTGAGTGTGTCTCGCTGAGTGTGGCCGAACCTCGATCTGGTTTCGATTTAGTGTTGTCTGCGCTCCCGGCCTTGCTGGATATGCGGCTAGTCAATGCAGTAGACACCCAGCCCGCCGGAGTGGACAGACCACTATGTCCAGTCCGACCGTCCTAAGCGGATGTCGCGCAACCAACCACCCGAAACCGGTGCACCAACGGCGATAAATATGCGGACCGATTGCAGCCGGCGCGGCACGCTTACACAAATCACATGGATTTAAAACTCGCCATCGGCTGATGGTTATGGCATGGTCGATTTATGGTCCCCGGAGAGCGCCGACTGACTGGACAAACAACCCGTGCCGTCGCGCCGGGTCGGTGAGTACCGTTACAGTGGGGCTGTGAGGACGGGGGGGGAGTTCAGATGAACCCAAGAGGTGCGGACAGACTGCTGCAGCGCTGACTGGCTGTAGGATGGTGCTGTCAACTCTCCTCTTCCTTCCTACTAGCTCGATAGTGTCGGTGAGTCACATCACTGGGGGTCTGCCTCCCTGGAGTCCCCATGGTCCTCATATCGGCCAAGTAGCAGGTGCACGGGAGACGGAGCGCCGACCGGCGTGGGGGCGCCGTTCCAGTGGGCGCCGTTCCAGTGAAGAGGCGGCGGTTCGGGCGACGCTGGGCGTGCCTACGCGCTGTGTGGGATAGATATTGGCACAGGTTAACGCAAACGGAGCTGAACTTGGACGGGTGGCCACGATCCATCCGACAGGCATCGACACCCGTGGGCCGAAAAGCGAGCTACCTACGAACTCGCCGCGGCTGAGCCGCGATGTTGCGTGAGATAGCTGATCGCATCCTGGTCTCTGGCGCGCCTGGCCGCTTCCTGGCCCGCGGCCGTGACTGTAAACACGGCCACTACCCAAAACTGGGCTCCATTCATGAACGGGTTCCGGCTCGGCTGTTTCACCCATTTGGCCATGGCTGATGGGATCCAGCGTCGCTCTCTCAGGCACGTCTGTCACACAGTTGACCGGCAGTTTCAGTGTCGGCTGCTCTGACACGAACAGGCCGTTTTCCGGGGTGTCTGCGGTACCGGCGGGGTGGAATTCCTTCCATGTGAGGTGCTGGCTGGTCACCTGTTGTTGACTGGGCCCGTCACGAGGGGCATGTTCACTGAGGTTCGGATTGAGCCATGTCCGGCGTCTGCGGCCGAGGCGTTTCTCTGATGATCGCGCCTCTGAATAGGGAATTCCGCGCCGCGCTGGGCCGGACGAGTTTCGGAGGAAGGTTAGATTAGCGGCGTTTTTCGTGTTCAGAAGGCAATCAGTGACATCTTGCCCAAGTCGTGATACGGAGAAGGGCCAGCCAGCGTGATGCTGTGTTCAGGTAAAGCGGCTTTGGGGCATTCTTGTCGTGCCGCCCCGACGGTCTGGAGGCGTTGCGTGTTGGGTGGGCGGGGTGCGCCGTCCGGCCGCCCCCTGGGGTGTGTACTAAACAGCGTCTGGGTGCCGCACTGCCACGACACACGGGCTGGGCAACGGCCGGTCGGCAGGCGGCGGCCGCTTTGACCATGGTGTCACCAGATGGGGGCTTTCATCAGGCGGTGCGATCTGGTGTCGAGGGAAAATGCCGATCTTGGACGGAGGAAAGAAGGCACAGAGAAGGAACGGGATACATCATCCACTTTGCTTGCCGGCGGTTTTGTCTACACGCGTTCCAGTGACGCGGCTGCAAGCTGTCTCTTGCTGGCCGCACCTGGACAAAGCGTGTTAACGCTAACGAATCCCGAGAATAGAGCATCGCGAGCTGGCACCGAGCCTGTTCTGAAGGCAGCGAGTCGCACTCCGCCAGCCGAGGGAGGACCCACGCTCTACTTTCAGTCCGCCAGACGAGTAAGCAGCTCGTGGCGCGGCGCACTAGCTCTTCCAGGTATCGCCGCGACGCTGAATGGTGGCTGAGCCGGACCGCAAGCTGTTGGGTGCGCGCTGGGGGCGGGGCGCACCTCATTCTGAGAGGGGTGTCAACAAGGCGCGGCCTGAGGGAGGGTGTAGGGGAAGGTGGTACCACATTATTCCGTGAAGTGTCACAAAGGTGCGCCTTGGATGCCATGTAAAGCGTATAAACACTCAATCGTAATTTGTGTCAACGTTTTGCATGACCTTAAGCGGAGAGAATACCAAGTAGCACTGAGAGTTGCCGCATTAAGAGGTGAATAACGTCATCATTATTCATCGAAGACTGGCTTTCTCCACCAGAACCGCTCGAGGAGCTCTTTCCTTTCATTGAAGGTCGTTGCTCCAGTAGTCTCCGTCGCGATGTCTCCTGAATGGTCGTGAGACCGTCACCCGGATCATCCGGCTTGCTACCCGTCCCGCCGGCCCTCCTATCACATCTCGCGGTCGGACAGCGTGTGCGTGTGGGTGTGCGCCCGGTCACCGCAGTGGCGTCATGGCGATCGTCATTGGCGACCGCGGAAATGACGTCATCAGAGATACCATCACCAGCATTGCTACTGATCGGTGATAGCAGCGCGGGGCGGGTTGTGGCAGCGACGATGGGAGTCTGTTTCTTGTGCATCGGGAGCCAGAAAGGTCGGGCAAGCTGGGAACGCTGGCTTTTTCGAATAATAATTATCCAAAATGGGATTGTGGTGGTCGGTTTAATCCGTTATTGGTTGTTGGTCGCTAGTCCGGCGATAGTGCGCTTTGACTGTCAGGGTACAGTGTCAGATAGGGCGTCGTTTTTTTCGACCGATGGTTGCTAATTGTTTTGGTAATGATGGGATTATTTAGTAAAAGTTATCGCTCGGGTCCCTCATCACTAATTCACATGTATCGATCCGTGCTGACATCCCGAAGAAATTTACAGTTGTGCAAACTATCGGTGGCGAGTGTTTCTCTGATAAATTATGCAGATGTGACGCTGCGCCTGGATTGAAGACGATAGCGTCATTCCTGCAAGATTATATCACCTAAGCTTGCCTGTGTGACATCAAATGTCATCAAAACCGCCCCTTTCAGCTCATCGCTGGGGTATTTTTCTCAAGCCTTGCACATTACTGCGCGGCTAAACGTGTTAATGTTGAGCTCTTGCAGATTGACCGGTCGAAGGGCATTTCTAGGAACGCTTAGATCATACCTTCGCATTGGGTTGGTCCTGTTCGTTACGAGCGACCCAGAGCGCTGATGCAATGAATCGCATACTCGTACATCTATCCGAGACCTGCGCGTGTGAGTTTCACTTCGAGTTCAAGATAGCGCCGTTGGAGGGGCGAGCGATGCGGCATGGTACGTTAGAGTGGCTCGATGTACTGTGCCAGACCCTCAGCAGTGCTTGCCCCTCGAGTGGCTACGCCGTACCTCAGGACAGAGATTTGTTTAATAACATGAGGTCGAGTCAACGGAATGGCTGCTTGAGATTGTTTTAGTGCAACTGGTACGTTTTTAGCCGTGTGTTTAGGTGATGCTAACCGTTTACATGAGTTTGCATCTAGCTATCTCGAGTATGTTCAACATCGCAAAACTTGTTCGGATTGCATTCGGTTTTAGGATGAAATCAAGGCCGTCTGAAGGTGTGGAATGTTGTTAAGCTACTGAAAAAATGTCTCAATAGAACGAACATCAACACATAAGGCTGCTTTCGTTGCAATCTAAGGTCAACAGTCAGGTCCGGGAAGAGGTGATAACTAAAAGAAGCTCATTTTCACGTCACTTCAACCAAAACATGTCCATCCGTTTTCATGGCATGATATGAACGCTGGCCGCTGCAATGAACTGTTGGTCGCGATTCTCCAAACTACCATCACTGTTGTTAACGTGAAAAAGTGTAAACCCGTTCCTTCAGTAACTGTCTCTCGCGTCGAACAGAGATGATTCCGTTTGCAATCCAGCAATAAATGTCCCATATTGACTGATGTTGTTTCTCTACAGATAATTGTTGTTGGAACCTGACTGCGTCGGTTGCCTTATGCCGTTCGGTGGTCGCCTTTTTCGGATTCTGGACGGCTGCGGTGGCGAAAACAATCTCGAACTATGTGTGGATTGCCCGCCCGATGGAATAGTTGAATAGGTGGAATTTTCTACTAGATTTATCGTTGCATCCACCGTGGAAGATGTTGCAGCTTATTTTTGTGTCCCAGGGCTGCAGACGGGGATAATCCTTCTGCGAAGTAAACTTCTCCCTCCTGCCAACGACCTGGCGCTTCCTCGAACGGTGCGTGCGAACACAACCTGTCAAGGACAGATTTCGCCGAGACCAGACATCGGCCCGACCACGTGCGTCGTTCCTCGTCACCGCCACGCCGCGTTTTGCACAGAGTATCGGCGAAAAATGCCAGCCTTGGCCCTGCCCGGTCGACGTGGCTGAGTTTTGTGGCTGGCGTTGTGAACAAACGACTGTCATTTGTTTAATGACGCTGTGGAGAAGCTGATGACAAACCGCAGTGACCAAATGCACTTTGTCTCGCTCGGAACTATGTCTGCCGCGAATAATTCTGCATCGTGGAGGAATTTGCAAGGTCATGGTGTGGTCCGTGGCGCGGATGATGCAGCGGGGTTTGCCCTGTCTTTTGACCGAGATCCTTAGGAAATCGGGGAGGGGCAGCTTTGCATCGAAACAGGGAGTGCTGCGTGGATTTAGTCACTTTACATATGAATGCGCGAGTCTCCAATGAGGGCTCCTCTGTCGCCATTGACGAGCGCTTTTCTCCTTTATGTGTAACGAATCTAATGATGTGTAGTGAGCCGCGGCCGCGGTCCGAAGGATGGGTCGCTCGTATTTGTGTCATCCAATGACGCTGCTCTGACGTAAATATGTTACCACCAGCGATAAATGCTTTCTTTTCTTCAGCACATTTACGACGCAAAATGTCCCATTTGACATTTTATTGTCGGTCATATCTCAAGACAAGTGGATATATTTCGTTAAATGGCCTTGATTTTTGTTTTCTCTTTCACTGAAGTGATATAACGGTGACTTTTATCGAAGCACACGTGTAGAGCGACGGAGGCCCGAAGGGGCTGTTTGAACGGGCGTGGGCAGCAAACCACATCCGCCGGGCACAATCGTTCTCCGAAGGGAATGACGTAACGGTCACCAGCCAGGCACTTGTGGTCTGTTGACGTTATACACCAGTTGATTCAGGAAAAGTACTTAATGGAGACCAATTGCATGAGACGACGGCTATTGATTGAATCAGCTGTGCACCATGTGTTTTGAGCACTAGTGGTCATTCGCCTGGATGGTCGCCTGTGGTTGCTTAATGGTATACTTGTTTGTTGTTCTTTGCTGTCTCCGTGTGGTGTGTGGTGTGTATGTTTGTTGTTCCCTGTTGTCCCCCTGTGGTGTGCGGTGTGTATGTTTGCTGCCCCCTGCTGTCCCCGTGTGGTGTGTATAATTGTTGCCCCTACTGTACCCCTCCCCACCCCACCCCACCCCGGCCGCCGATGTGGCCCGCTCAGCTACCGTTGGAGTGCCGTGAGTAACCGAACACCGCGCCCCGCTGCCGACAGATCTGTACCGGTCCTGCGGGGAGCACGCCAAGGAGGCGGCCGAACTGCAGAAACAGACCAGCTTCTCGCAGACGCTCGTCAAGGACCAGTTCGCCGCCTCGCACTCCCCGCACCACGCGCTGCTCCGCTGGACGGACGGCCCGCTACCGGGCACCGCGCTGCCCACGGCCACCGCCGCCGCCGCGCCGCCGCCGCCCCCGCCCGCCGCCACCGCCGCCACCGCCGCCACAGCCGTCCGGGCGGCCGTAGCGCCGGCGTCAACCCCTGCGCCGGTCTCGGCGCCGACGGCCACCGCCGCGCCGCCGGTGACCACGCCGGCTGTCGCCGCGGCGCCCGTAGCCGCGCCTGCGCCCGCGCCGACCAGAGAACCGGCGCCGCCTCCGCAGGTACCTGCCCCGGCGCGGCCGCCCGTGCCGACCCAGGTGCCGGCACATACGACAGCACACATGTCCAACCAATCCCCGGCCCACATGCCCAACCAGTCCCCAGCACACATGTCCAATCAGTCGCCAGCACACATGTCCAATCAGTCTCCAGCGCACATGTCCAATCAGTCTCCAGCTCATATGCCCAGTCAATCGCCGGCCCATATAGCGAGCCAGACGCCGGCGCACGTGCGGTCATCGGTGGCGGCGCAGGCGTTGACGCACGCGCCGGCGCGGTCTCAGCAGGCGCCGGCGGCGCACGGTCCCGTGATGGGCATGTCGGCGGTGTCTGCGGGCGGTCCGCTCTCCGGATACCAGCCGACCGGCTACGGCGGCGGCGTGGCCGGCTACGGCGCCGTGGACCCGCACGTGGCGCACCGTGCGCACCACGCGGCCGGCGGCGGCCTGGTGATGCCGGCGCACAGCAGCCCCGGCGGCGCGCTGGGCTTCCAGGCGGCGGCGGCGCACCACCACCCACTGGCCGGCCTGCAGGGCATGTACGGACACGCGGCGCACCCGGCCGCCGGTCAGGCCATGATGCCCACGCACCACTACCACAGTCACGGACATCACTACCCGGCGGCGCCAGACGGCGGCGGAGGCATGCGCTGAGCCGGCGCCGCGCCGCGCCGCGCACACTTGTGATAGAAGTACAACTCACGCCGCGGTGGCTGCGCCCGCCTCCGCCCCGCTCCCCGTGCGGGCGACCCCGAGCGCTCAGCGCGCCGGGCGCCCCTGACACTGGGCGCGCGTCAGAACTGTGTATTTATTCGCCGTGTATGCTTTTTATTGGAGTGCGATATTGCTGGTAGGGTGATGCTTGTAATTGTTTTATGTACAGATTTTTAGCTCATAATAAAATCCTCAACGCGACTAATTCTGATGGCGTTTGCAAGGTTTGAATAGCTTTGAGGATGGTGCTGCCCTCGAAACTGTCCGCCATATTGACGTCGGGGAAGATTATTTTATTCACACCTCCTGCCATGAGTTCTGTTTTACATTGAAGAATGAAGGCCACCCAGGCTCATAGCATTTCTGATTTGGCGTTATAATGGTGTCTACCAGATTCAGGGTCCGAGAAGCACGATAACGCTGTGTAACCAGCTGCCTCTCAGTCGCCTGTCTGGGGCGCTATTCGGTGTCTGTTTTCATTAGCATGCCTGGTTATACCATCCGTGAAAGTTACTTGCTGGCATTTCTCGATCTCTCGTTGGTCAACCGCACACACCATGTGAATTTCACCAATAAGAAGACGAGAAACGCCAGCATGCTGATTAGTGATTAAAAACCGCGACCGAACAGCTCCCGGGCGAAGAAGTTCGTACGCCGGCCACTGGGTTTCATGCGTACCCACGCATCGGGCCCAGCTCCTGACGGACGTCATGTAACACTATCGTGGTTCAAAATGTCTTTGATGGTAGATCTCCTGTGGGATCTATGCTAGACAGGTATTGGTTCAATTACAGATTGCCCGGTGGTAGAGAGCTAGACTGAAGTCTGGTGGATTTTGACGTTAAGCTGTTGGGAAATGCGTTGAGCTCGAAAACAATACGATCTAAAATAACAAACCGCATGTTTTAAATTGCCATTTTCTAGGTCATTCCTGTTTGTGCAGATTATCACCTACGCTCTCACTTGTCGCATTTCACTCAACATACTTCTGCCGTGCACTTCGTCACACGTGGGCTCTATTTTTTCATGTCGTGACCCTGTCACCGTGCAGGTCTATCAGCACACCTGCCGTGACGCAGACCCCAGCCTGCGTCTGATGCCACCATATCGTTCTCTGACGTGGTCCGTGTTTCTCCTGACGCACGTGTCGTCAACTGACGTCAGGACGAGCTGGGAGAAGACACCTGGTAGTGCCACTCTTGTTCCGCTGAAGCCCAATCGGTGATCACTCAATGGAGACCCCGCATGGAGCATTCAACATTGATGGCGCACATCAGACGACTGCAGTCTGAATACAGGAAGCCGCTTGAGACGAATTGAAAATAAGATTGCAAAACAAGGCTATTGTCAACGCTGGCAAATTTAACTTCTCCGGATAACATCCACATTTAACGGTCTTAGCGGCAATAAAGTAGATAATCTCAGCAGAGTTTGCTGTAGCGGTAAAATTGCATGCCTGTTACAATAATAAAGGAGGGGATAGTACAAGTAGAAGTAGTCACTAGTCTGGATGTAACTGTAAACTGGATGACAGATTATATATCCATGTGCGACACAATTCGAGCTTGAAAATCCAACTGCAATGGCTTGTGAAAACACATAATTCGCAGTGTGCGGCTGACCTTAACATTTTTAACAATACCATATGGCAGCTTTTATGGCCAAGAAAAAGTGAAAACTACTAATCCTCGGCTTAGAGCACTGCGTGTGGCTGGTACACAGGTTATAATGCATGTGGGCATTGCCTGCGTGCCTCGCATTCCCAGCAGTGGCAGAATCGCGATTGGGTCACTCCTCGTCCTCGATTCTCGAACCTTCATTCTTCGTGAACGTCCACATTATTCTGAATGGTTCCAGTCTGTTATACCTTCCCCTTCATAGCACCTTTCAAATGGCCAAACATTGAATAGGCAAAGTGCTCACGCTACTGGAGCAAAGTAATGCGATTACCCTGGAACAATCTGTAAGTACCCAGCATTTTCCTGTCACGTCCCGTCTGCCCCGGTAACCTGCATGATAGATTTAGTGGCCGCCCGGGAATCTTTACGTGCCCGGGACCGCGGAGCGATCGACACGAATGACGGCCGAACGCCAGCACGCCAGCTGCCGTCGGGGGTCGATGCCCCGGCTCATGGCAATCGTCCCCCGCGCCGCCGCAGCCGTACCGAGAACGACGGTGAAAGTCGCCCCCGTGCGCCCCTCCGCGTCCGGCTGCCATGCTGCGCGCCGGGGCAGGGCCGCGCGCCATCCTCCCGACTCGGGAGTGTCGGAACTCGCGTGTCGTGCTGACACCGATCCGCGCCGCCCAACCAGACTCTGTGCGCGTGTTCGCGGCTAATAAATTCGCCGGCTTGCGATGATAATACCAAATCTGACGCTGCCGGAGATTAGCGAACTGTGGGCGGCCGATTTGTGGAAGTTTGGCGGCTCTCGTGTAAATTAGCGGGCGATGATCGGCGGATTTCCGGAAGATCTGATTGGCTGCGCGGTGCGGCAGAATCTGTCCTTTTGGCTATACAACGCGTGATCGGCTCAATCCTACTGCGCGGGGAACCTAATATCGCTGTACCTCTCTGAGTCAGTTTCAATGCTCTGTTACAGCAAAAACGATTTATAGGTAAGTGCATCTCTGTACTTGCATGCATGTAGGTACAGCCCTCTGCAAACTGCGTGGTAGGTATTCTTTTTTCCGACAAAACCGAGAATAACGCGAATACTATGCTATCGGTCACTCGAAAATCGTAACAGCAAGACGCGCGTGATACCGCACCTTAGATTGGCATTATCATCTTATTCATTTTCCATCCAGTTTGGCAGCAAAACCCAAAAGTTCCTTAGATTGGCATTATCATCTTATTCATTTTCCATCCAGTTTGGCAGCAAAACCCAAAAGTTTATATTTGCCCCCAAAACAAACTTTTGCATTTTGTTGCCACACAAGCCGTACACTTTGTTTAGTAATAGACCCAATCGAAGGAGTGGAGAATGGCGCATCTATTTGAAGTGAGTTCCGACCCAGGGGCGTCGACGCGTAAGGAAAACTGGTCCGACTTTTTCTCGGGGGGCCCCACCGGTGGGGGGCCCCCGCGAAGAGCCCCGCGAGGGCGCAGCAGGGCCCCCGCGAGCCGCAGCGGGGGGCCCCCGTTGCCGCAGCAGGGGCCCCCGTGGCCGCAGCAGGGCCCCCCGAGAGCCCCAACAGGGCCCCCCGCGGCCGCAGAAGGGGACCCCGCGGGCCGCAGCAGGGCCCCGCGGTGTCTAGCAGGGCCCCAGAGGCGCAGCAGGGCCCCGCGGTCTCTAGCAGGGCCCCCCGAGCCGCAGTAGGGCCCCCGCGGTCTGCAGCAGGGGCCCCCGCGAGCCACAGCAGGGCACCGCCTAGTCGAAAAAGTGGTCCGACTAGTCGGAAAAGTCGGACCGGTGTCGACGCCCCTGTTCCGACCGACTGTTGACATAGCCTTTGAGTAATTATCGGTTTTGTCGAAAAAAGAATACCTACCACGCAGTCTGCTGAGGGCTGTACATACAGTGGTACGTACTACGTATATGTTACAGGGAGTATGCGATTTCAGTTAGTTTGCAACGACCCTAGGGTGGATGTAACCTCCCTGAACGATCAGTTTGTTTGCAACGACCCTAGGGACGTTACAAAATAACTGCTCGTTCCGGGACGTTGCAACGAAACTAGGGTCGTTGCAACCTCCCTAGTTAGTATGCAACGAACCTAGGGTTGTTACAAAATAACTAGGGAGTTTAAAAATTCATCGAGTCTCGTTTCACATGAGGGCCGTCAACAATCTTGTCCAATGAAAAGCTTGTTCAATCTAGTTCAGTTTAAAAGAAAAGGAGAACAAAATTTAAACATTCAGCTCATGAGTATATGTGGTGCCCGGGACAAAGCACGTAACTGTGATAATTTTGGCTGCATTATATTCGCCAGCATATGTTTACATGCAGAAAATACCTATAGTTACTGGGGTAGGTGTGATGGATATCCGTCGCTATCCGTGTGCGGGTTATCCCTCACCTCACATTTTTAGTGGTGCGGGTCGGATAAAACCCCTCGTTAGTTTTTTCGCGATTATCTCGCGCTAAAAGCGGCCAATCGCGACGAAACTTTTGAGTGTCCTCGAACTTATCTACGTTACTGGTTACACATTTCCTATACAGTTTATGATCCTGAAAACCAATGACCTTTGACCTTTGATCTGATTTCTGGGACCATGGCAGACCGAAATGATTTGCCGTTTATGTGAGCGCACATAAAATTGCGTTTCCAGACTTCTATTGTGATTACATATAGGTAAAAGTGCCAACATGTGAACTGATGGTTGTCCCATGCATCATGATGGGTTTCAAGTTGACTTGTCAGTTGTCGGTCAGGTCAAGGTCATTGACGTTTGGTGACTTCGGATGACTGTTTCAAATTTTACGATTTCAAGGGCTTTTTTAGCTTATTTCGAATCCAGCATTCGTTGAGACATTTGAGAAATAGCTGTGGTGCCAATGCAACTTGCTACGAAGCTGTCGCTGGTGTGAGTAAGTCAATTGAGAAAATGAAAACTGCTATTCTGCCGCCGGGAACGATCTCAAACTATATCAAGCACACGGACCGTGATTTTATGCACTCCTTGCAAGGTTAGATGCTTCAATTTTGCATTGTTGACGTTGCGTCATTTATGACGTCACTAGGGTCATACGAGCTTTTCCTCAATAACTCCCGATCAAATTGCTAGCGAGTCGGTCAAGCCACTTATGGACTAAGGAAGACCTACCGAATCGAATACTATGCAACATGACCTCCTTTGACCAATTTCGCATCCTAGGGGTCTCTGACCTTACCTTGACCCGAGGTCAGCACCTCAAGTTGACCTCACCCGGACAAAAAGTATACCATTTGACGCGCCTGAGCAAGGCGAGCACGTTGATGCTAAAATCGCGCTCTGCTACTGTTTTTTTTTTTTTACAGAAGTTATTAATCAAAAACCGAACCCGTGTCTTGGGTTACTTGACCTGACCTCAGAGGTCACCGGTTGACCTGAGACCTTAAAATCGGTACTAGTTGCTGTGTCTCCTAACGGCACACACGCTCGTTTTTCCGCGACGCTCTAACTCCATCAGGGACGAAAAACGACGAGGGGGTCGTACCAACCCTCCCCCGGCCGGCGCGTATGTAGAAAACCAACAGGTCCTGCGGAGTTAACTCTCGCT